ACTGGTTATCAGAATGGTAGAGCACAACATAAACCGGCGCCTGAAATAGAATTTATGGATTGAACCTGCTCGTAATGTCCTTTGCTTTCTTTGCGCTTCAGCCCCAGATTCTTTTCCTGCAAGGGATCACACGCTTCTAGACAGGCTGTCAACCATGTGCCCTGCCCTCCTCTGGCTGTGGGCAGGGTGCGGAGATTTGAATTTTAAGCCCCGATTAGAAGCACTGGTGGGTCAACGGCGCTGGCGAGATCATTAGCGCTGTCTGCCGACTTGGCTTCTCCGTGTGATCTGAGACCTATGACCCAACTCTGGTGACAAAGTGCATTTTCCTTATATCCAAAGTAAATCTAAAAGCTGACACTGCATGTTTTTTGCTAAAAGCCAATTTGAACACGTTTTTGACATAAGCATCAAAGAAAGGGAAGACTTCCAATTGGGAAGTATACAAAAAACTCAGTTTCTCTGGAAGGTGAAATGACAGTAACAACTTTAGTCCCGCACTGCGTAACGTTACAGCGAACAGTGGAATACACCGAATACACTTCTCTGGCCCCGGAATATTATACAGAGCGGAAAACCGCGGCACAGCAATGCTGCAGCCTCTCACATGGCCCCATAAAGTGTGCTCTCCTCTGTGGTGGTGCCGGGTAAACAGTGCCAACCGTGGAACAGTGCACAAGTGCAGCTATGTAGAGGATCTAGTGCCTGGCAGTAGGTGACTGTGCTACTGGATTGTGTTTTTATCATTATTTTACTGTAGCCTTTCTACTTATGGGGAGAAATTTGCTGTAAGATCTGCCACATTACACCAGCCACGGCCTCTGTTCTTCTCTCCTCCTCCTCTTTCTCCCCCTCCCCTCTCCCTCCCTTTCTGCCTCCTCCTTCTCCTGGTTTGCAGTACTGGTGATTAAACCCAGGGCCTTTTCCCTGAGCTACATTCCCAGCCCTTGTTTAGTTTTTATTTGGAAACAGGGTATCACTTTTCCATTGTTTGATTGCATCCAAAGGCCATGTTAGTGATCTCCACCATCAGGCGTGTGTGAGTTCACTCTGAGTTTGCTCCACTACAAAATCACTCAGTGACACATTTCTTGGAACATGATCCAGTCTTAAGTAACGCACGACTACAAATTGATTAAAAAATCGTCCTTTGAAAATCTTACACTATAATTTCTTGACCTGTGAGGGTGTGGGCACCAGCAAGAGCTATTCGGTGAGGAACTCACAAAGAAAGTAAGACCGATTTAAACCAGCACCCGTTTAGGCCAGAAGACCGGACATCCAGCCTCCCGTGCTGTAGCCACTCAGATATCAACAGTGGCTGCACCAGATCCACTCAAGGGATGAACTCTCCACCAGGAGACTTTTGGGATAACCTGGGTGTATTCCCCTTCAGCTCAGCCCCTCTCGACCAGCTGTGTGCTGCCTTCCTCAGTAGCCCCATTCTCCCGTCCTGCCGCAGCCACACTTCCTCTGACACCCAGCGGAAGGGCCACACCCCTTTCTGCACCCACAGATGGGCACCCTCAACCACAAAAGGGGAAGAGCCAAGCCAATTAAGTGCGTAGAGCTCCTCATCGGTTTAGCGGTTTGCATGTCCGGATCATGAGTTGTTAAAGGTAGGAATAGTGAATGGAAATATTTGGCTTCAATACTTCCGAGACTGCTACACAGATTCAAAGATTCAATGCAATCTCAACTGAAATCCCAACAGTAGGGACAGAGATTTAGCTCGGTGGTTCCACCACCTGCTTCCGAAGCGCAAGGACCCAAGTTTGATCCCCGGTACCAAAAGCAAACAAACAAAAGCAATCCCCACAGTATATTTTACAGAAGTAGAGAAAACAATCCAACAATTCTTTTGGAACAAGAAGAGATCTAGAATAGCAAAAGCCATTCTAAGCAACAGAGACATGGCAGGGGATATCACAATCCCCAACTTCAAACTATATTCTAAAGCCACTGTGATAAAAACAGCACGGTACTGGCAAAGAAACAGACCTGAGGATCAGTGGAATAGATTAGAAGATGCAGAAACAACTCCAGACACACTCCATCACCTCATCTTGAACAAAGGAGCCAAACCATCCTCAGTAGAGGAAAGATAGCCGCTTCAATAAATTGTGCTGGAAAAACTGGATTTCAATTTGACAAAGATTAAAACTAGACCCCTATCTTTCACTATGCATTAAACTAAAATCAAAGTGGATTAAAGATCTAAATATTAAAACAGAAACATTAAACTTGTTGGAAGACAGGTAGAACTCTTGAAGACATTGGCAGAAAGACTTTTATGAACAAATCTTCAGTAGCACGGGAACTAGCACAAAGAATCAACAACTGGAATCTTATCTTATTAAAAAGCTTGTGCACTGCAAGAGAAACCAACAGAGCTAAGAGACAGCCTACAATGTGGGAAAACATTTTTACCAGCTGTCCCTCAGACAAATGCCTACTATCTAGAATACATAAAGAATTCAAAAAAATCAGACCCCCCCCAAATATAAAGACCCAATTCAAACATGGGCAACTGAAATGAACAGATATTTCTTGGACAAACAAGTAAAAATAGTAAATAAATATATGAAAAAAATGTTCAACATCACTGGTCATTTGAGAGATGCAGATGAAAACAACACTAAGATTCCACCTCACCCCAGAAAAAAAAGCTGCTGTCAAGAAATCAACCAATAACAAATGCTGGCAGGGCTGTTGGGAGAAAGGAAACCTTATTCATTGTTGGTGGGAGGGCAGACTGGTGCAACCACTGTGGAAATCAAGATGGAGATATCTCAAACAACTAGGATAGGATGTCCCATTTGACCCAGCTATCCCTCTGCTTGGTATCTTCCCAAAAGAATTTAAAGAATCATACCACAGTGATATATGCTCACCCATATGTATAGCAGCACATTTTGTAGTAGCTAAAACTTGGAAACAGCCTAATTGTCCATCAACTGGAGTCTGGTTTTTCTATAAAATGGAATACTACTCAGCCATAAAGAATGAGAAATCAGAGACATTTATAGCTGAATGGATGCATATTGAGGCCATACTCTTAAAGTGAAATAAATAGGACACAGACATGTAAATACTGAATCATTTCTCTGGTGTGAAAAACTAAAAGTGTAAGTAAGGTTCAAATTGTGTAATTGATAATGTGAAATGGGAAGAAAAGGGCTAAAGGTATAGGGGAAGTGGAAAGAGTAGGGGAAAGGATAAAAATAAGAGAAAAGGAAAAAAATGGAAACAAAGTCTTTGTAAATCGGGAGGGGTGGAAGAAGTGAAGGGAGGGCAGGGGAGTGGGGGAAAAAAAGAACCAAGACCTGTCGTGTAAAGGTAGAAGATCCTAATGGTGAACGTAACTGTACTGTGCACCTAAAAAGTACCAATAAACTTAATGAGAAAAATTTTGGCTTCAGAATATTCACCAAATCAGTCAATGACCTCTTTGTCTAAGGATACAGTTCCTGTGGCAGGTGTGGAAAGTCGCTCTGTGAACCGAAGTGCAATGATGGATAAGTGGCTCTAGGGGAATTAACTGTGTGCTTGAGCAGCGGTGACAACGGGGAGTCAGGGAAGTTCCAGTTCCAAGCTCAGCAGCATATTTTACTGTAGTTGTGGAGATGTCATGGAAATCCCCCCAGGTGACAAAACCTTACTCTAAGGTGACAGACATGGACAATGGAGCTGAAAAGGCCTATGGCAGCACGTCCTTAAATCCAGCCAATGACAGGCCTCTGCGCTGCTGATGTCAGTGCTACTGATTTTGCTGTGCTACTGTTTGAAGGAGATGCACTAAAGAACATCAGTGCTAACTTTAAGTCTAGATTTTTAACTTTTAACACAACTCCATAGTTCGGAGTTTCCAGTGGCGTCTGCTCTCCCATCCCTACCAGGGTCTTCCCTCTAAGACCACCCAGCCGCCCACTTCCTGTGTATCTGTTGTGGGAATAATTTAGGCTATGCAAATACTCATCGAGGGCATCATTTCATAAACACGGCTCCGTTCAGGGCATTTCCTCTTCTTACTGCATTCTGGAGAGCTCATCACAGAGTACAGAGGAGACGCTTTCCTCTTCATGGCTACATAGTATCACGTTCCTTGCCTGAATTGTGCTTTATGCAATCAATCAGTCCTTCGATGGACGTTTCATTCTAAGCCCTTGCCTTTACAAATACTGCTGCCACACAGCGCTCAGTGGGGGCCAGACTGACCTCTAAGGGGGTGAAAATGATTTCTTGGCGTGGGGGTAAAGAAATCTTTTTCTATACAAAGCACAAGATGTACACCTAGTAGCTCATAAACAGATATGCAGGATACTTGTGGTATTAACATTTTTTTGAGGGCAGGGGACAGCAATTAGGGAAGAAGATGTACAATGTTTTGTCAGGATGCTAGCAGTGAAGAAAGCTGAGAAACACTCCCTTAGCCCGAGCTGGTTGAGTAGCACAGGGCTGCAGACCATGACTGGCTCCCGTCTGGCCTGCTGCCACCCCTGGACTGTGCACGTGGGAGCAGAGTGGGGAGGCTGCTAGCAAGGAGAAATCGGGGTGACTGCTGGAGCTCAGCCAGCAATTAATTGTCTGGGGCCAGCGTCTGGGGAGGGGCATCAGGCCGACCCGCTTCTGCTGCAGGTATGAGGAGCAGACCACCAGGAAGGCAGCTCTCGGAGGACGGTGTCCTCTCTTCCCCACCTTGCTCAGAATATTGAGTCACTACTATCTTAAGAGTTTCTTGATTTACAAAGATCCTCACACATGCTCCCTCTTGGCAAGTCCACCCCTTTCTCACCACCCACGCACTCCCTCGGCACTGGTAACAGTCAGGGACAGCTCTGCACCTGCCTTGGGTGGAATCACGATTCCCTTTCTTTGAGAAAAAGAGGAACCGAGGGGTACACACAGGTACAGAGCCACTCGAAAGTGATTTCAGGCCCTTCTCCAGTTGAGGGCTGCAGCAACAACGTTTCAGTCAGCAGGGCTGTGCAGGGGCACACATGGGCCTGGCTCACACGGAGCGAAGACCCCGCCCCCCAACCCCTGCTTCCCTTCACAGACCATCAGCTGTGTTTCCCTCCCCAGAGCCAGCTAGCTTCCCGCATCTGCCCGGGGAGGACAGTTTCTGCACACGGTTGGAGGAGCTCATGCTCTTGGGCGGGAGAGGGAGAAGTCAGCAGCGTGCTGACGGCCTGCGGTACAGCCAGATGAAGAGAGCTTGTCTGAGGGCTGCCCCCGGGGAGCACCTGGCCTGTGGCCGGAAGGGCTGTGTGGGGCGCTGGGCTGGGGCTCCTCGCCACCGCAACCCCGCTGGCTGCCAGCGGCCCTCACTACAGTGAGTGTTGCGATCTCCCTGAGTTCTCCTCTTCCTTATATTCCAAATAAATTTAGATAAATATTTAACCAAGTCCATCAGAGCAGAGGCAGAAGGCACCTGGTGTTCCTATCAGTGTACCTAACCAGTGTTCCTATTTTTTCCAGATATCCTTTCTCTGCGCATTGGAATATTTAGATAGACGTTGTTTGATGATCAGGACTCAAGTCCTGAAGCCATAAAGAAAAAGATTGAGGCACTTGCTTATATAACAAAACAACAACAACAACAACAACAACAACAACAACAACGCATGCATGACAAACACCATCAGAATGAAAAAAGCAAATTCTAACTGAGAAATCACTGGCAGATCGTTTTCCAGCAAGAGATTAATTCCTGCAGACATTAAAAATTCACAGAAATCAATAAGGATCAATAGCCTAATGGGAAAAGTGAGTGACATGATTCCAATTGCAGGAAAAGAAACGCACATGACTCCTAGAACAGGAGAGGTCATCAAGCCCACTAGTTAAAAAAAATGCAAAGTAGGAAGATAGCGAGTTTGAGTCTGACCTGTGCAATTTAATTACCTAGCAAGAGACTCTGTCTCAAAATAAAAAATGAAAAAAGGAATGAAGATATAGTTTGTACAGAGGCCCTAGGTTCAGTTCCCAGTACTGAAAACAAACAAACAAACAAACAAACAGCACAACCACCAAGAGCATTTTGCAAATTCTTAAAAGTAAGACAAGGTCTCACTATATAGTTCAGGCTGTTCTTGAACTCACTATGTAGGGCTCACTATGTAGCCCTGGCTGATCTTCCTGCCTCAGCCTCCCAAGTGCTGGGATTACAGGTGTGCACCACCAGACCTTGCTGCAAATTCTTACTGGGAATTGGGAAAATGGGGTCTTTCTCTATGACAGAGATTCCTTCTCCCGCTGGGTGCCCATCTCTCAGTTACTTGGAACTGGAAACTTCCTCTGACACTCGGTCCCACACCAGGTGTCTGCTGCCTCTGCTCCTCTCTCAACACTGGAAGATGGGAGATAGGAAGTCTGGGAAGCCACCCGTGGAGGCTGTGTGGAGTGGGTGCAATCCCTGGGAGCTTTGTTTTTCCGTCGGCGCACCCCACAATGGGGTAGACAAAAGGTCAGTCCACAGCTGTCCTCCACTACCTCAGCATTTCCAGTCAAAACGAAAGAGCAAGAGGTGCAGCGAGGCGGCGTGGATGATACCGAATAGAGGCTGAGAAGAAGCTTCTAGCAATTACAATGGCTTGGTTGTGGGAAGCTGGGGGCACACACCCCTCAGTTTTCATTTCTCCTCAGAAAATACCTCTGGAAAAGCTCTGAAAGTTTTTCCCGCCTCAACTTTCTTTCCGATGTAGCCCTGTGGTTCCCTCTAGTGGGACTAGAGGGAACTACAGCCACTCTTTTTAGAGGAGCTGGTCTGTTATTTGCAAATTTTTAACAAGATCCAAAGTTACACAGGCTTGGAGTATTTATACGAGAACCCAGCGCAGTTTATTGTTCACTCCTAGAGCAATTCTGTCCAGCGTGAGAAGCCTGTGTATGCAGGTTCCAGGATTCCATGCGCTGCCCTGGTCTTCACATGAAGCACGATGCTGAGGGAGAATAGCATGAAGATGGCTGGGTGTGTTCTCCAGACACGAAAGCCTAAGAACAGCGTGAGGCACTTACTAAAAGGAATAGATGTTGAACACTCCTTAGTTTTCAGCTTTTCATGAGGCTAAAATCCAAACGGAACCAAACCGGACTTTAGCCAGAAGACCATGATATAAGACTTCGAGAACACCTAAGCCAGTCCCCTAGCTTTAGCCCTTGCAAGTTTTCCATCGTGGTGGTCGCAGGGCAGCATCCACCTGGGCAGTGAAGAGAGATGATGTGTGGCAGACCCCGTCCTATGTCAGTCTGCACACACCTAACGCAGGCCAGGCAGCTCCCTAACCCTCCGGCTCTGGGTCGGGCTCCTCCCTCTTGGCCCAAGCCCTGGCTGTAGTAAGCGGGATTGCCACCACGCAACTTGGAGGGCAGAGCTTGTCTTGGTTTCTTCTCAGCGGTGGTTTAGGTTCCCAGCCTTTCCTGCTTTTCCATTTGCAAAGGGCTTTGTCACTTCAATAGGCCAAATTTTATGCAGAGCCCTTCTGTCCCTCCTTAGCAGCCCTGCCTTCCTCCATTCCCGAGAGGCCTTGAAAGCACCTGACAGACACTAATTTTCCTCTCTGTCCTCTGTGCTACCCAGAAGGGATTTCTCCTGCTTGCTTGGAGTTGAGAGAAGCAGGCAGGAAGCTGGGGGAAATCTTGCTTGAAGTAGTTAAGCCACACAATTTAAATCCTGCCTAGGAGGGGGGGTTCTCTCAAGAGCTGACTCGGGGTCTTCACCATCTCAAGTGTTATTTCTACTGGAAAGATGATTGCTAGTTCAGAAAGTAATCAAATTAATTTGCACTGGGCACTGTACCTAGCTCAGGACACACACTGGTGGGCAAGGCAGACTGGTGCCTGCCCTCTTGAGATTTACCAAGCAGGAGATGGAGATTAAACAAATACGGTAATCAATGATAAGAAAGGCTGGAAAAAGGGAAACACAGCGGGGGTGTGTGACAGATCGACCTGATTTCATGTGAGCACAGGGAGAGCACACCTGGCCAGCAGGCAGAGGAAGGACGGAGAGGCAGGGTACGGCCAGGGGAGAGAAGCTCAGAGAACTGAGATCAGGTATGACTTAATACTGCCTCCACACAGGAACCCTTTGGCCTTTCTCACTACCTCAGCTATTTTAGGAAAATGGAGACGGGAGATCTAGTTCTTAATCTGTAGGCAGAGACACGCCTGAGGGTATCACAATCCCCAACTTGAAACTATACTACAAAGCCACTGTGACAAAAACGGCATGGTACTAGCAAAGAAACAGACCCAAGGATCAGTGAAATATATTAGAAGATGCAGAAACAACTCCAGACTTACCCTGCTACCTCATCTTTGACAAAACAGCCTATCCTCACTGAAGGAGAGATAGCCTTTTTAATAAACGGTGTTGGAAAAACTGGATTTCAACTTGCCAAAGATTAAAACTAAACCCCTATCTTTCATCATGAACTAAACTAAAATCCAAGTGGATTAAAGATCTAAATATTAAAATAGAAACATTAAACTTGTTGGAAGACAGGTAGAACTCTTGAAGACATTGGCACAGGAAGACTTTATGAACAAACCCTTAGTAGCGTGGGAACTAGCACAAAAAGAATCAACAACTGCAAGAGAAATCATCATCAGGGCTAAGAGACAACCTACAACGTGGGAAAGCATTTTCAGCAGCTGTTCCTCAAACAAAGGCCTACTATCTAGAATATATAAAGAATGCAAAAAAATTAAGACCCCCAAAATATAAAGACCCAATTCAAAAATGGGCATCTGAAATGAACAGACATTTCTTGGACAAACAAGTAAAAATAGTAAATAAATATATGAAAAAAATGTTCAACATCACTGGTCATTCTAGAGATGCAGATGAAAACAACACTGAGATTCTGCCTCAGAAAGAATGGCTGCTATCCTCATCCCAGAAAGAATGGCTGCTATCAAGAAATCAACTAATAACAAATGATGGCAGGGTGTTGGGAGAAAGGAAACCTTATTCATTGCTGGTGGGAGTGCAGACTGGTGCAACCACTGTGGAAATCAATATGGAGATACCTCAAACAACTAGGACTAGAGGTTCCATTTGACCCAGCCATCCCTCTGCTGGGTATCTTCCCCAAAGAATTAAAATATCACAATGATACATGCACACCCAAGTTTATAGCAGCACAATTTATAATAGCTAAAATTTGAAGACAGCCTAATTGCTCATAAAATGGAGACTGGATAAAGATGATGTAGTTTTTAAAATAAATTGGAGTAGTACACAGCCATAAAGAACGAGAAACTAAAGACATTTATGCTAAGTGGATGCACACTGAGGACATCCTCTTAAGTGAAATAAATAGGACACGTGTGTAAATACTGAATAGTTTCCCTGGTGTGATAAATTAAAAGTGTAAATAAGAATCAAAATGTATAATTGACAATGTGAAATAGGAATAAAGGTCTAAAGGTGTAGGGTAAGTGGGAGGGGTAGGGAAAACAGGAAGGGAAAAGAAAAAAATATGAGAAAAGAAAAAAAAGGAAACAGTCTTTGTAAATAGGGAAAGGTGGAGAGGGTGAAGGGAGGTCAGGGGAATGGGGAAAAAATGAGAACCAAGACCTGTCATGTGAAGGTACAAGATCCCAATGATGAATGTGACTGTACTGTATACCTAAAATGTGCCCATAAAGAGAAAAAAGACTACACTTTAAGGTGGATAATGATGAAAAGGAGCACCAGCTGTCAGGAAGAACAGTCAGCTCAGGGACTGGTGCAAAGGTTGAATTGCTCCTTGTGGAAGCAGCAGTGATGAATTCTGAAGCCAGTCCGATTAAAGTAACACTGGCAACACTGAAAATGCCTGTACAGCCAACGGTTTCCCGCGGGGGCTTTGAAATTACACCACCTGTTGTCTTTATCCCCGAACTCAGGACCTTGCGCTTGTGAGTGAGGCAGCAGAAGCTCTGAGCCAAATCCCCAGTCCCCACCACCTATGGTCTGAAGGTTGAAGTGTGGTTCAGGGCCTGTGCATATTCGTGGACAGCATTCAGCAGCTGTGGAGGAAGACGCAGGATCAGATGATGAGGAAGCGGATGTAAAACTTAAGTATATCTGGAAAGTTATCTGCCCCTGGAAGTGGTACCAAAGTTCCACAGAACAAAGTAAAACCAGCTGCTCGTGAAGATGATGGTGACGATGACTTCCGACATTCAAGACCTCCAGCAGCTGGGCAGGACCTTCCTGGCCACCCGGGGCAGGCCGTCTCCTGATGCTGTGGATGCCATATAGGGTGAGGGGCTGGCCTAGGACCCCAGCCCACCCTGAGCAGAACTCTTTGGAACCTGCCTCTGCTCTCCTTGCATTTAGAGTAGGTCACTAATCCCTTCTATGAAGGGGTCAGGAAGGTCAGGAGGAAGATGGGAGGAGCCGTTGGGAACGTACAGCCAACTGTACAGCCTATCCCTCCCTTAGGCATCTGCCCCCTTTGTCACAATGACTCCTCCTGGAGGGGTGACCCAGTTAAAAAGCCCCTTTAATAATAGTAATATGTCTAATGGGATGCAATTCAGTTTTTCTGTAGTTAAGATTGGATTAAATTCAGCCAGGTGTGGTGGCTTGTGTCTGTAACTCCAGCACTCAGGAAGCTGAGGCAGGAGGATCGCTGAGAGCTCAAGGCCAGCCTAAGTTACAAAGTCATAGACCATATCAAAAAACCAAAACCAAACAAAAAAAATTGGGGTTTCATCCCTGTTCATAATCTTTCCTCCATTTTACTACTGTACAACATAAATGTCCTGTCCTAACATACTGTGGTTTGCTGACACCTAACACATTGTTCCTGGGTTAAACTAACCTGAGTACACAAAATAACCATTTAGTTGTGGCAGTGTAGTTACTTAGAAGTCACAAATGGGCGATGAGACACAGTGCCATTGAAAGAGACCTGTAAATCTTTAATTCCCTTTGGGGAAAAAAAAGGCTGCTGTACACATCTCTGGTGTAGACCGTACCAGTTACAGTACCTGTTTCAATCAAAAGAGAGATATAGGGAAATACGTCCTCACTGAAGTGAATTTGCATTTCATAAGCTGCTACCAGCCAGAGAACACTCTCCATATAGCGTGTAAAAGAAAGTAACACACATGTTCAGGCTGGAAAAAACAAGTCAATTTTATACAAAACCGTCCCTCTGCTGCTCACTGGTGTGCACAATAAGCACATGATCAAGATTCATCTCCATGAGTTTCAGATTTCATTTAGCTCAATTAAACAGATTTTCCTAAGAAAAGCATGCTATAGGAGAGGCTCGGCGGGAAGAGCGGGGAAACCCAGATGCATAAACTCTGAAACCCACAGCTGTGTCATCGCGTCTTGAAATAAATGCTTGCAAGAATGGAGGCTTCGGTTCACATTTGTCTTGAATCATGCAAATCTCATGACATCTTCATTTTCAAAGAATCCTTCCTTCCTTAGGATACTTGTCACTTAATACGTGCGTGCAAGGCATGAAGTTTTCAACCCTGAGGGTGAAAAGTCAATGAAATCCTCTTGGACGGAAGAGAGCAGGCAAAAGAAACTGGACTGAACAACAAATACTCACACGCGCGTTCCACAGCCATCTGATCCAAGTACATTCTACCCAATTTACAGGAGAGAAAACTACGTAGTGGTCAGAAATGGGATTTAGCACACAATTGAACTTTTAATCAGCTGGCTAGGTCCTGTTTAAAAGAACTTGATGCAGAGGAAAACAACTTGACCTTTAGGAAAATCAGTTTTGCCCAAAATGTAACATTACAGTGTTTGAAAATTCTACCAGACTGCTAATATACTGTTAAATTTTCAGGATCCAATTATAAGATTATGTAGAAACCATAGCAAAAGTTAAACAAGTATACAAGGTTCATGACATAGCAGCACTTCTTTTTGAGCACTAAAGCTCATTTTGCTCTAAAGCATTAGGGCATTTGATTTTTAATTCTAAAGTTAATTTTATTTTTATTTGTGATAAATACCCAGAAGGTAAAAACTTCCTTCAGCTTTTTTCATAGTTCCTATGACAGATATTATTTCTAATTTTTTTTTTTTTTTTTTAAATCCAGGGTCTCACTATATAGTTCAGGCTGCCCTTGAACTCACTATGGAGCCCAGGCTGGCCTCAAACTCACAGCGATCCTCCTGCCTCAGCCTTGTAAGTATTCCCCACTCCTGGCTACTTCTAAGTGTTTACTCACACATATTTCAGATCTATAGAATGACTCAGTGAAAGCAAATTTCAAAACTGGTAAAATTAAATCTGGATCATGACCGTAAAGGAAGATGAAGAGGCTTTCTCATCCAGGTGCAGCCAGTGAAGACTGAGGACTTCATTTTTTGTTTTGTTTTGCTTTTTGGTACTGGGGATCAAACTCAGGACTTTGTACTTTTGGGGTAAGGGTGGTGCCACTGAGCTAAATCACTAGCCGTAAGACTTCATTTTAATGATCTGTCAGAAGGGGGCTGGGCGGTGAGTGGGCGTCACCCCCAACTCCAGACTGAACAGTCAGCCTGCTGACAGCGTGGCTCTGATGCTCAACTCACCCTCAGCGGCTATTCCCCACTGAGCGATGTCCCCAATCCCAAAGTTACATTTAAGGGCTCATGGCTTGATATTTTCTTTTCCATCCCTTTTATTTACATCTTACTCTAGACTTTCTTCTGTAAGGTATGGAGTGTATGTGTCCCTGCAAGCCTTATTACAAACTCCCTGAAACAAGAGAAGTTACGAATACACCGACTGCCTAAAATCGGGATAAGTTAAGGTGAACCACGCTTTACTGCATCAAGGCCGCTTCGGGTCTAACGTACCAGGGTTGACATTTCTTAGCAAATTCGTCATCTTCCTAGAGCAATATTCAACTTTTAGGAATCTGAATTTCAGGAGTTAAAAACAAAAGGGGGGTTCGAACTTTTCCGAATCAATGTTTCCTAGCTGTTTCTGAATTTCCCAAACGTTCCTTAAAAAGTTCAGTCATTTAGAATGAAAGAGGGGTGAGTGGGCAGGTGTGTGGTTGTGGTACACTACTCAACAGACACCAGAGGTGGAATCTTTATTTCACGAGGTTCAAGATACCTTACAAAACGAATTTGTACATCTCTTTATTAACAGGGTTCGTTTGTTTACACAATTATATTACACTTTGCCAGCCTGTATAATGCATTTCATTAAATAAAAATCAATTTACAAAAAGAATTGACTATGGTGTCCCTTTACAATGCCAGCTGATGGTCTTTTAAAACTTCCTCTCCTGTATTCCTAGTGGTTACTTTGAAGATACCAACTTTGCTTTTCTCAGTGAAAGAGAAGCAGTGTTAGCCAGCGCGTCAATCTGAAGAGTAAAAATGGGATGCGTGAGGGGATGCCCTGCATATACACAGGGACCTTTCCCATGTGCACAACAGTCAGATTCCCGCTTGTGTAGGTGGTCAATTTAGATACAAATTACTGTACGGGGTCATTTTAAATTCTCCTCAAATACCAGCTGGATGGAGAAATTTAGTTTCTCAATGACAACACATTTAAAAGCCAGGTAGTGCCTCAGACAATATACCACTCAGAACTTTTATATTTTTCCTCCTATTTGAGCAATGACTGATGAGAACATGTGCATAGCACGTAGTTTTCTTTTGTTCTGATTATTTCTTGCGTATTTCTAGTCACAACATCATGTAATATATATTACGTTCACTTTAGAAACAAATACTAGCTGTCACTGGAACAAATATAGCCCTGTTGTTTTTGCCAGGTAAAGGAGTCATTTACCTGAAGCATCTTGTTTTGAAATGAGCATGTGAAATGTTAGTCCAAACCTCTGTCAAGGAAGTTTTTGCAGATACAGTTAGGCGTTTAGTGCAAGGCATGGTGGCACACACCTGTAATGCCAGCACTCTGGGAGGCTGAGGCAGCAGGACTGCAAGTTTGAGCAAAGGCTGGGAAACCTAGTGAGAAGTTGTCTCAAAATAGACATTAATACACATGCTACACACATGAAGAACTGTGGTTTTCATTTAGAAGGGGCATGCATACTTCCAAAACACTGGTTTGAAGAACAAACATGAGGAGCAGAGAAAAGAAAAATAAAGCACAAAAAGCTTTATGTATGTGTGTGTGTGTGTGTG